TTTGAAGAAAAAGATAAGTTATTTTTTGCATCAACCCCCTGGTCCTAAAGTCATGCCCTTAAAAATTTGCATGCATAAGTTTATATTTGTATTTGCCTCTGTTGTACGTGTAGATGATTATTACAGCAGGAAATTTATCTGAGAGTCGAAATGCATTGGATCTTGCAAGAACAGATGGTAAGCAGAATATTTTATTGTAGTTGGATCTTCAACTTTTATGTAATCATGACAAACTCAGCAACCATTTTCAAGATGTAAAACATCTTGTTCCTTTTTTGGGGGGGAGGGGACATTTAAACATAATGAAATAGACTTTTAATGCTGTCATTGTGAGAACAATCTTAAGAAATTGGTCTTCTTCGTCTATTGTACCTGAAATTTAAAAATGTGAGTAGCATTATGGCTTAATATGTGTAGGACAGTACTCTATCAAGGAGTCAGGTTTGAGCTCTAGCTGTGACTGTTGCATTGTCAGTTAGATAGTTTGTGAATATATAATATATAGTTACACATGTACAGCTTTGATTCACGATAACTCAATCATTCAAGGGAAATCAGGATAGAGTTTTTAGGAGTTCAGTTTATTGGGTCAAGATGGGAACAAATTATTATTTAAAAATAGGAGATCATCTGTCCACAGACCTGCTATTTTTTTCTTGAGTTCAGTTAGCAAACTAATCATATCTATAACAAAATTCTTGATCGTGATTGGTTGTCCGCGTGCCTATTTGCCACGTAATCGACGCGCAATCACGTGGGTGTCCAATTACAGGTATCCAATTTGAACTTTTTGTAATTGGACACCTGTAATTGGATAGCCACGTGATTTGCATGTCAATTGCACATGCTTTAATGGCTTTCTTTGCAATGTTTCCTACAGTTTTCAAAACTTATGAAATGTGCTGCAGACGTTTTCACTCAAAAGAACTTCTCAAAAGACATTTTTAATTATGAAATTTGTTATAGATACGGTTAATTAGTAATTGGACATTGTGCCGCACAGTTCAGGGAGTAATTGTGCTTGTATTTTCAAATTGGTCTCGCGCTTTGCACTTGTCCAATTTTGAAATTACTCGCGCGATTATATTACTCCCTGAATTGTACTCCACTCAGTCCAATTACTATTACATATTAACCTTGGTGTGTGGGCTATGAACAAACCAAAATGCAAGGGGGCAGCATGCTCAATGAAAAAAAAAAGCAGAAAAAAACTACCTTTGACAGAAAGACTAGAGAAGAGAATAAAATGATGTGGGCTTTGAGTCAGCAAAGGGTTCAAGTCATTGAATGTTCAGATCACCAAGGGTAAAGTCACAGTTAATGTTAAAAGCAAATCTAGGGGAAATCTATTTTGGTTTGAGTTAGTGCAAGACTTGAGTTATCAGGGACTCTAACTTTCTGGGTACTGGTAAATGGTTGCTCAAGGCAATGTGATAAAATACTGTCCCCTCTGACAGATTGGCCACCTATTGATTGTAAGGGGAAATTGAAATACTGTAAGTTGTTTCTTCATGCTACAAAAAAGGAGACAAATATCAGTGAGGTTGAATGTCAGTTCTCAGAGTTCCCCTGATATCCCTCCAGTTAACGATAACTTTTAATTATCCTTCTCTTTTAATAAATATATTTTATTATCTACAATTATAAAACCCTTTGCTTCCTGTAGAATCTTTTCACAGCACTGTTGGGTGCCATCCCACTCGCTGCAGTGAATTTGAACAAGATGGCCAAGATCCAAATGACTATCTTTGTCAACTAATTGCTATTGCACAGGAAAATAAAGGAAAAGTTGTAGCTGTTGGTGAATGTGGTTTGGGTAAGTAAAAGATGTAGTTTACAGCCACTCATTTCTGACAAGTTATTATATGCTGTGTCAGTTTCTCAAAATGTAGTATATTGTAGTAGCATTGTAATTTACAAAAGTAAAAGCAGTGATCTTTATTTCTCCATAATGGTATTGGTAGATTGGCAAGTGGCTGTTGACAAGATTATATTATTAGAAAACTAACAACATCCACTTTCATTTAATTGGTATCGCAGACCTGTTAAGTGTGGAAAAAGCTGCAGCTGAACAATAAGCCCCTCTGTATGTATTCCCCATCTGCACGCATTGAGTACCTATGAACCTAAGTGCACGTAACATTATGATGTGCATAAGATATCATAGCTATAATGCGGTTACCTTAGATTGCTCATGTCGATCTACTTGGTGAACTTAATAACATCACTATTTGTTCCTGAAACAATCTGTATGCTTGACTATTTTTTTTTTTTTTTAGATTATGACCGGACCCATTTTTGTCCAAAAGAGGTTCAGTTGAAGTAAGCCAAACAATTTTAAAATAGTATACAAATGGTATTTAAAGAATTTAAAGGAGCCAAAAAAAAAATGAATGTTCTTTTTCATGGCTTACACACGTCTTGAAAAGTTACATCTTTGAAAAGTTACATCTTTGAAAAGTCCCTGAACTTGAAGAAGATAGCTAGGTTTTATCACAGGGGCAGATCTAGGGGTGCAGGGGGTGCACACCCCTCCCCCTGAGACGAAGCCTTCTTCGTATTTTCTTTTAAAATTTGTTACCTCACCAGCCAGTTACCACATTCCTTTGTGGTGCACCCCGGCTAAGAAAAATCCTGGATCCGCCCCTGTACCAGTGGTCCTTGCGTTTTAGTGAGAAATCCTTGAATGCTTTAGGCTACCACAAAAATTCAACATTCTCCTACAGAAGGTTCGAGGGGAGGCAATGAGAATAGCAGGGAAAAATTTTTCTTAGTCTCAAAAAGCTAATATGGTGATACCAGAATTTATTAATAAGTGATTGTTATTTGAAGTACCTAACAATGCAAGTTATTCCGGCCCAGTCTAGAAAATTTTGAAAG